AAATCGATAAGTTTATGCGTATAGGAAAAATAACATTCAACAACCTCTCATAATTTCGTGTATTTGACCATAAAACAAGCATACTGTGATTGAGTTTATTATCTCGTTATTTGGCTATGTACTTCGTTTCCAGTAAGTAGACTAAAAATGGAACTTGTTACCTATTGCTAACGATACGTAACTCATCTGTCAGGAACGGATTCATGTATTTGGCTTTGATCTACACTCTTAGTGTGATGACTATTGATGCTACTTTGTTGTTCAAACTGAATCAAGTGAAACGGGATTCCAACCTGCCACCTAATGCCTGAAAGTCGAACGTCTTAAATACTACAACACCGCTTTAGTGTTGTTTGAATGGTAATAAGTTTCATCAAGATTTTCTGTTTAATTTTTCATTGAATACTTACATTTAATCATGTTTTGTGTGGTTGCTCGTTTAGATTGCTGTAAGCAATCCGATTGTGTGATGAGCATTAAAAAAGACTGAACCACTCACTCAGAAGCCCGAATGAACAAGTATCAAAATATACAACGAATTTTTAGTCAGCAAAGTTAGTTTATACAACAGAATGACATGCGTGCAAAACACTCGATGTATATGAAAATTTACGCAGTTGAATTCATGAGTCGATCTAAGTTAAACCACCATTAAAAACATGGAAGCACTGGACGATCGATTCGTCCTAGTATGGGACTCCTTTGCAGTACACGTCCTCGCACTCGGGGCTCGAGTTCAGGACCTCTGGTCCCTCACGCGAACGCTTAGCTCCTGAATCACTGAGCCGGCATGAAGGGTTGCGTAAAGTGATAAATCGATTGAAGTTAGACAATAACATCGTTGGATGCCAGCTCAGTGGTCTATAGATTAAGCGTTTGCGCGCGAGACTGGAGGCCGTGTGTTTGAGTCCTGAGTGCGGGATCATGGGTGTGTACTGCTGAGGAGTCCCATACCAGGACAAACCAACTGTCCGGTGCTTCCATGTTCTCACTGGTGATCTAACTCAGATCGACTCGTGAATTTAACTGTTAAGATACTACAATCTTCACGAATTCCCATACTGTTACATAAATTATGTAAGGGTAGCTGTTACCAGTGACATTAGATCTTTGTGCTATGCCACAAGTCGGTTGGTGTTGGAACTGTACCACTGGACATTGACTCAGTGGTTCTAATAATTAAGCATTTTCCGTGTGAACTGAAAATATCGGATCCGACAACTGACAGGGTCGGTAACAAACGCTCTTGAGAAGACACACACTAGAACGTAACAGTGGTTCATTGTTTCCTGGTTTTCAATGATACTGGCTTATCTTTCACCTGTCATATCAAGAAGCCAGCCAACGATAAGTGATATCGCTTTTTTATGTAAACAAACTAGATGAAATGAGAGAAAATTCTACTATCATATTTAATATTGCCCAAAAAACAAAGGACAAACAGGGTTTTTTTTCGTAATTCGGTACTTATTAGCGGGGCACTCACGAATCTTCATAAAAACAAACTCCAGAATTTAAAGTAAATCACCACGTTCAATAACCTTGCAACTTTTGATTCAATATCCAGCAGTTAACACTGTACACTGCACTGGGTTTGTGACATTGTCCAATGTCTTTAGTATGTTATCGTCCCTCACTTTCTGACATGGTCAATTCCACATGTCATAGTATTACAGAGGAACAGCGAAATTTGTCGGGAGGCTTGCTCACTGTTGATTAGTACATAATTATTATTTAGTTAGTGCTTTGTTGAGACTGACTGACGGTAGATGAAATGACATTAAGAATTAGAAGGAATCATTTAATTTATCATTTCTCAATAATAATCCTCTTCCATCATTATATGGCTCAACTCCTACCTTAAAGCATCATACATCACTTTTTAGTAAAAAGAATAATTTACAATTTCCTTATTGTATAGTGAAGTTTGTCTAATTGTTTCTCCAAAGTGTATTATAATATGCTTTACCAAATGAGATATTGTGACATAGTAAAACAAATCAATATTATTTTCTATTCCCTTACCGTTGATTACTCACTATGGATAATAAAATTACTTATGTTTAAACTTGAAAATAAAGTCACTGCTTTTTAGAGAAGAAAACTAGCCAGTTCAGCCTTAGTTCACTAATTGCAATTATGTTCTTAACTTTAACCCTGAGGTCGAGGTCAAGTCTCGCGTATTGGTTTTTGTGTTGCTGTATTGTATTGTTGTACTATCCAGGTCAATTTGGTGATTCTTTTTTTCTTTCTGCCAATGCTGAATACAATACACATAAACATATTCACACATAGATTCAATAAGATAGATTTGAGGACAAATATTTTGTTTTTTTTTATAAAAGATTTTACAACAAAACAATGGAGAATAAAATCAATTAGTAAATTGTTCATTTATCACTAAAGATGTGCATTTGTGTTCTTGAATGTTTTATCAATGCTCATACACACACCTACAACATCCACTTTTAAGATCGCGTTACTTTGAACGTTACCACCTGGTTGATCCATAAACTATTAAATAGTTAATATCTTTTTGTCAAAACTTCATTCATTTTGATATAAGGCTCGTTCAAATATGTATACTTTGGTATTAGAGACGTCAGTACTCATGGATCCTACAAAATACAACGAATTACCATGTGAGATTATCATAGATACGCCAATGCCACTGCGGAAGCCCTCAGTATTCAGAGCTACCTAAGATTATATGATATAGAAGCTGAGGATGATTTCCTATTCGAAAGAAAATACCCTCAACTAAATATTTAGATCACATTTATTGTTTCTTAATGATGAACATGGACGACGAGCGACTGCCAGTGGATTAATGTTTAACAACCTATCATCTCGTTGCTAAGACATTGAATGAGTCTTCTATACCTACTGATACTTAGCAATATACGATCCAACTTCTGTCTGACCATCGAAGATCTCACTGAGCATTCTCGTACTTTACGGCACCTAGCTATCCAAGCACTTCCCCGAATAAACAGTACAGCACGAAAAAAGATAACACTTGTTTTATAGAGAAACTTACCAGGTTCTCTACAATACATTTTCAGTTACAACCAACCAATATAACTTACCTAAAAGAGATTCTCTATCTATTTACACCTGCAGATGTGCTAATAATGAGTTGGAAGTCGTCATACTTCATGTCTATTGAACAAGTTATGGAGAAGTATCATGAAAATACTGCGCAAATTAGCTGCAGTTAGCCGTCAGCAGAGGTATTACGGTAGACAAGGTCTAATTGCTTAATTATATAACTGAAACCAATCTGTAACAAATACAACTGAGAAATTAATTTTTAAATCTAAACCAATTAAAACGAGGGCAGTAAACATGTTTAAAAGTTCTTTAAGGTACAATGTTATTCAGTAAATAAATGTCTCCATAGATCACCAACTGCCGTCGAATGAATTCGGGACTTTACTTCTAAATTTAACAACACCTCCCCGTCTTAGTATTATACTGTAAATTCCATTTTTAATATTAAATAAAGTAATTATACAGTCCGTTGGCTTTTCAAGATATATACGTTCAGATAGCTTTGTGTTAGTGAAAATTTAGTTTCAGTTACAAACTTGTATTCAATATGATAATAAAACTAACAACAAATCCTTAATATTAGAGCTAGACAAGCTGAAAACTGATTTGGAAATTCCATCAATTCACCTTTGTTACATTTTTTTTCGGCGGCAGATAATTTAAACCGTCAGTATTATAGATCAAAATAATAAAGGTGTTAAACACTAGTTTTTAATAATCCAAAGCTCTATTACCTTAAGGCATTCCATAGTTCAAATCAATAGTCAATAATTACATAAACACCTAGTTTCCAACTCTAACTAACCTATCTGTTCATCATCTTTTTTTTCGACATTGCTGTAAATGTCTCTCTGTAGCAAATTTTTTTCTTCTCTTATAAATATTCTTTATTTTTTTGTTGTTGTAATTTTTCACTATGCTACTTATTGAGGATCACAAGTGGTCCATAAAATTAAATAAAGATTTTATCAGACATTTTGATAGGAAAAAATGTCATTGAAAAAAATATTTTTTTCACTGTCATTTCTCCCTTCGTACATTATCTTATTTTATGTAAAATTATTGACAGCACATAAATCATTTGAATATGATATTTAAAGTAAAAGGTTTCCAAAAGTCATTTTTATTCCATTTAACTGTTGTAATTTGGTTATATAACCAATTTGGAAAATACAGACAATTTATTTCGATTTTTTAATTAGGGTAACGTTTTAATTTTGTTTAAATTATTTACCTACTGAATTTAAGTTAGTAGTTGTAGGCTGAAGCCATATATAATTGTCCTTTCTAATCAATAGATACATTGTATGAATCGGTAAGCATTTTTCTCTTCGAGTTTTTGTAATTGACGTGTCACATTTTCGCCTCTACTAATGTAATGGTTCAAAATATTAGAGTGCAGCCATGTTATTCGTGAAACAGTCATCATCATTGGCACCCGATGATCACAAGTTGCATTGCTATCTGATTAAAATTGGAAATGTGTACCATTTGAAACCAATCCGCTGGTTTTATGGTTAGATAACCTAGGTTTAATACTTTTTGGATTCACAAGTACAATTTTCTGAGTAGTCCAATATGACGATGAATCTTCAGTCTAATGTTCTCTGATATCAAACGGTTATCCTACCTGAGGTTGATTCATGACGAATACCAGATAATTATTAGCTAACAGTCTCTATTTGGACTTTAGGATGACAATAAAGAAATTTCCCATGTTTTATTTCTGCATGTGGATCAGCAGTATTACAGTCTTCAATGCATTCGTTGTCAGTGTTCATGAAAATATCATTATTAAAGCATTCTTAAACTTTTTTTCTGATTTCCACAAATCAATCTAATTGTTTTACCAAGAAGAAAAGTTGGCTTTCTCTTTATTTATACTTCATTAAATCTGTTCCATTTTCTTTTTCTGCTCTATATTCCTAAAACAAACAAAACAATAGTCAGACTCAGTCAATTTACCGAAAGACAATTTATCAAGCCCGTTACAAAATGGTCAAATTCATCCACCAATATCGAATAGTAGTAGTAGTAGTATTCCAGTTAACCAACCCACTACACCAACAATAACACCTACATGTTTAACGACTAATTTTGTTACTTCACATCAAAATATTTCACAAAATTTATCAAATCCATTATCTATACAACATGTGAATTCATCATCATTGCCTGTAACACTAACAACACAATCATTAACAACAACTAATGGACAAAATGAAATATATTCTAATCAATCTGTACAAAATCAATTAAAATTAGCTCAAGCTCAAGTGAAACGGCTAGAAATGGAAATTAATCAATTAAAACGTCAAGCTATGCCAGTAATGGGTAGTTCAATGAATGGATTAGTTTATACAACAAATTATACTAATATTGAAGTAAGTTGATGAAAACTTGTGTTTTTCCATTCAACATAATAGATAAATGGATTATATCATCATTATTGTGATATAACGGGTGTTTAAAATATTTTATTTCACTTTCACGTATATTACGATAGTACGTTAATACAATGATAAGACTAGTCACGTTATATCAGAACCAAGATTCACAACCCAGGATAGAGAACTAGATTAACACTAGATAATACCTTTATTCGACATAATTACAAGTAGTTGCACTCAGTGAATCCGCAGTAGAAATCAATGGTAAGAAAGGAAATCACATATTTAGTAGTCACTAGGCAAAGCAAGTGCCGCATTCATACAGTTGAAGAACATATAGAACTCAAAACAACTGTCAACCAACATTAGTCATAATCACTTCGAAGGTGCAAAGCACATACCATACCTGCGGACACTGATTGTCAACTGAATAAGTGCGGATTGCATGCCTTGGGCATTATCGCACAGTAAGACAATACCATTCGCATACTCAAGGTCGAGAAGTCTTTCTCCAGGCAACAGATCCACACCACCATTACTTACATCCATCAGAGCTGTCTCCAGAATGTCATCGATGGCAAAGTTGGAGAGGAATGGTGATATTGGGCAACCCTGTCTAACCCCACTGCTCGAATAGAACAATTGAGAAAGGTGGTTGTATGCCCTCACTCTCCCTGAGGTGTTTGTATATAGGGCTTTTAGGATGTTAATAAACTTCTCAGGCACACCCTTCTTCAATAGACAATCCCAGAGAACAGTCCTTTCAAGAAACACTACGATTGTTGGCCTTTGATAAATATGACGGGTTAAGATATGATCAATATGCCCTCGACCAGAACGAACCCCCCCTCCAAATGCCCTGGTATGGCCGAGAGTGGGGTGGGCCCGCCCCCCTCTCGAAATGCTCTCACACGGCCACGCGTATACAGCCTCTGCCAGGGAAGTCCTACTCACTGCCTTCTCGTGGCGGGGGTGTTGTTTACGAAATTGAGAGGACGAAAAGCGAATGTCCAGCGCTTTAACCGGATCCCAAACCAATTGTGCACATCGGCTCCAGCATCCTGAGTGAACAAATTGCGTATGAACCAATCGTTGGTCACCGGCTTCCATAGGACTGCATCTCCTCACGATCCTCCACTGCCTTGTGGATCAGACCTTCAGGTCGAAGGCTCGGGGAGTGGCCCCCTAAGAAAACCACCTGCTTCGGTCTGGGCACCCGGGTAGTATCACAGCCCTCACATAAATAAAATGAAAATGACGAATCATAGTTCTCTGTTCACACAGACACATCAGTCCAGGTTGGCATGGTGGGCGTTTAAGCAGTGATTTGATCGGTTATTTATTGACATACCAATCCTTATTTTTTTTACAAAACGTCGAAAACTAGTAACTAAGGTAAACAAGTTATGCAAATAAATAACTCAAGTTGATTGCTAATAATAGTTATGAATAAATTTTCTCGATAATTAATGGTTTTTAACTTACTACAAATAGTTATAATTACGCACTTAAGTGTGATCCGGGAATGGTATCATTTAAAACCTATCCTTCCATTATTTTCTTGTAGTAGACATTCGTCGTTTAACCACTTATCTCTGGGATTTGTCCCTTTTTATATATTGGCTTTTTCTACTTATTATATTGATTTTGAAATCTATAATTAAAATACGTCACGCTCGCGAAGCTATATTCAACGAAAATTCATGAGTTGTTTTTTTGGATTTTCATGCACATTTTTTTGGTGAGTTGTTTCTGCAGTTTCTAAGACTTACAATTATTCTATGAAATTTGAATTACTTATATTGAACTGGGTACCAAACTATGTGAATGAAAATAAACCCTAAGTAAGAATGAACTTTGTATGAGATGTTCACTTCATTACCCAAATACTGATTTTAGTTCACAACTTAATTGTGCAGTGAAATAATTCTACATACAGATATCATTATTAAAATAAATAATATAGAATGTCTCTAATGTTCTTACATTAGACAATGTGTCTGCAAACGAAAAAATTTGCAAGCTCCCACCAGACACATAAAGCCTTAGTATAACAGCATCTAGTCATATTTTATTCTCTGAGTTGTGACTCACATTGTTCTGAATATGGCAACTTAATTGTACTAGAAATTTAGATATTAACTTTTCTATTGTTTAGATTTATGTTTATTGTCACTACCCTGTTTTACGTTTAAACAGCCGGGAATATCAATGGATACCGTTGATAGTCCTGATCTACGATGTGGTATTGCACGTTTGGAATTAGATGGTACTAATGGCGGTGGAAGTGCCGGTGTCAATAGTAATGGAGAATGGATTAACGAATTGAGTATTAGTAATAAACCTAGACCAGTTGGTACTATTCATCCTTCATTGGTACAAGGTAATCAAAACAGACTATTATGGATGGATCGTGCATCACAAGATACTATACGATCATTGCATATACGTTTAGGAAATGTATTAAAAGAAGCCTTAGAAATTCATAATCGTTTAAGTTCTCTTCTATCAATTCCATCTGTAGAGTAGGAAATTTTGTGTTCGATACATTAAACTCACTGACTGACTACTTTTTCTCAGTCTTCCTGTATACATGACTTTTAAAATTTATTTCTTTATAATTTAGCTTAGATTTCTTAATGTGTTATCAATTTGTTGTTTTTTCTTCTTCTAACATTAATGTTTCTTCTCTAAGATGATGAAATTCCCCCCTAACAATAATACAAACATCTTCATTTTATTCTTTTTAATAATAAAGGATACTGCTAGATGCCTGTCAGTATTTTAATCATCATCTATGCTGTTGTACAGTTCATGTAATTTACTTTAATTTGCTATACTGGTGAAATGTAAATTCTTTTTCAATTTTTTACATAAGACAAAATTAACTCGTAAAATAAACAAGTATTATCACTACTATTCATTCGTAAATAATAATGACAAGGTCATATCTATTTATTCTAATGCATGATGTTTGTTTTATTTCTCTTAATTGATGTTTCTTATTCCCTGCGAATTTCCTCTCCTTTCTTTTCTATCTTTTATAATATAATTCCAAGATTAATTTTATAAATACTCCTTAATATAGTGGTATTACTTTAGATACAATTATTCGTCTTTTATATCAATGAATTACTTAAATAGATTAAATTTGATTCATTTCTCGTAATGAAATATCTGCAAGATATTTCTTATGTACTTCGTGTATCAGTTGATCTGAAAACTATTATTACAATAATTACGAGCGGTTCATAATTTTCCAGAGGACGGTAATATAAAGTGCTAACTAGTTTATTTTTTTTTATAGCATATTTCAAACAACCACCAAGCACATGATGGGAGACAATGAGAAAGTAAATAATTTAATGGAAATTATGAAGTAGATAAAAACAGACATGTGGTTTAAGCTACTAACATTTAGGCGAGTAAGGGTAACCGTATTCGTGGGCATCGTAATGTAAGGGTACAGGTATAAGCAGATTCTTACTGACATAAATCATGGTGTGTTGAATTAATTATTCGGAGAGCTTAGTTTATTACTGTCCTCCAAGCATTGCACCTGATAGAAAGATGGATAATATAAAATAAACTGTATCAACTTCCTTTCGAAATGCTTCAGTGGAAATATACTATGTATCACTATACCATACAACTTGGTGTAAACAAAGAATTACTATGTACCGTAATTCAATTGTACTAAGGTAACATAAAGGCTATGCAGAATTCAGATTCTTCTGGTCATTTTGCTTACAACAGCTAATCGCATACTGAGGTAAAACAAAACGTTCCACGAAGTTCTATGGCACGATAGTTACGATACATCTCTTCCTATCATTGGTTCAAAGCCTCGAAACCTGTTCTCATCATCTCGCATCTTCGGAAGTATCAAGGCAGTATTAGCGAACCTTCTCAACAAGAAGTATGGTTCAAAATCAAGTGCTCTGTATGTGACTACCCTACTTGTTGAGTCGTTTCACTTTATTGTCTTTAAAAGGTCATAATAGGTCTTAGACATTAAAAACAAGTATAAGTATAGAGTGAGAATAAGCCGTCTACTGTCTAAATGAACGCATCTCACTACGTCGAGTACGTTCACCAGACATTAGTTTTCGATACATTGGATCTTCAAACCACGATTTTTTTCTTATATGATTCAGATTAACAGTACTTTTCAACGATATGAAATGGAATGGTTAGAAGACGCATTATTGTTCTACCACGAAATATCTAGGGTGAATTAGATTAGAAAATACCGCACTAATCTGCATATTACAATCATTCTTCTGCAAACTTGCTAACAGAAATTTCTGATAAAAACTAAGAAATCAAAAGTCTTTCGTAGTATATAAAATCGGAATGTTATTAATACTTAGAAAACAATGCCAATTATATAAAAATGATAATAACAAACACCGAAATAACAAAAACTTAGTGATTTTTGACGAGGAAAGTTAGAAAATGCCGAAGGTGTTTTTAAACATAAATGCTGCCACCAATTATTATAAAATATGTAATTTTACTTTGACAAGATTACATTTATTCTTCACAAACGAACACCTCTCGTCTCATCCGTTTCATTTGTTGATATGAATCTGATTCAGGATAAGCGCTACGCTTACGATAAGGTCGGGTGTTTTGTTTTATCATTACAAAGTGTAATGAATCATAGTGCCCTGAAGATGAGTCTTCCTCATTTTCGGAAGCAACTTCGTCGTACACTGTTTTACAGTCATCGAAGGCAATAGCTTTACGATCGATAGTACTGAAGGCTAACGGTTCTATTGGCAGGAAATACAAAGGTAATTGTACCTTGTCAACTGGTTGAAGTTCTTTGCGCTCAGTTAACTCACAATCCATATTAGTATCAATAGAAAGTAAACTATTTTTATAAACAGATTCGTAGACAGTATATTCGTTAGATATTTCAACCATTTCACTTTCTGAAACCTTATTATCCATAATCGTATGATTTGAATAAATAACCTTTTGATATACTGGAACTACATTTGTGTGACAATTTGGACAATAAGCTATAGGTAATTCATTAGAACATTGTTTTAAAGTCGGAGCGATTGGATCATCCCGTTTAAATGTTTTTATATAATTTCCCGATTCACTTGATAGAGACGAACAGAGATTAGTGTCAAAGTTATTAGATATTCTTGACTTTCGATGTTGCTGAACCCACCTTGACTTTTGAGTATCTATATTTTCTCGAAAGGGACGCTTAAAAGTTAAACTTGACCGTTTCGTTGCGCATAATAGCGACCATAGTAATGGTTTTTTCTTTACTTTCAGCTTATTCTCTACTAAAGCGCGTTGTGAACCAGAACTTTTAGAAAACCATCTCATTATAGACTAGAAAGATAAGGTCGGAAACAAAAAATTAATAAATATTTGCTAATTTTGAATTTTTGTAGTAACGAAGAAACCCCAAATGTGACCGAACAACACAAACGAGAAAGTGTATAGATTTCACACAACTTACCCTTTAAATATAACTGGTGTAGTGTAACGTGCCTTTAGAATTAAAATTTATCTAACTTAACTAATATCTAATTAGAGAGTAAATCTTCGACGGCGTGGACAACAAAAATTTATTTACCCTTTCTCTCTACGCTTACTGTCATATATATATTCAATCAAAATGACCATGAATTTCGAAGTAGTAAACAAAAATCCTTCATTTTATAAATATCTGGTCTAAGCTTTTCTAAGGAAATATAATCAAACATCAAAATTATCGAATATGAATAGGTACAAGGTTCTCCAGTTTACTGTATACTGAATAAATCATCTAATCAACGTTAACAATATTTAAAGTAGATATTCACATTAGTGTGTAAGAGACATGTGGTGTGAAACGAAATGTTACATAACAGATTGTGTTATAACAGTATGCATTAAATGAAGATAAATAAACAAGATAAAGGAATGAATTCAAAGAGAAAGAATGTATTTGTAATTGAAAGCTTATGTTATTTTTAATGTTTCAGTTAATTGTTTAACATATTCAGATAAGATAACTGATTTGAACCGTTGAATGTAATATCTGTTAATTAGTTAATGCGATACAGATAAAATGGAATAAGGAGTTCAGGTTTACTTATTAATTATTAGTTGCCATGGGACAGCTAGTTGTATTCCATCTCACCTATTGTTGTAACGAGTGGACTGCAGGCTAGATGCGCAGCGCTTTATCGATCAATTCAGTGACACGGAAAACACGTAGTGAACGACATAGTGCCCTTATTGGTCCCGCTTCCCTGTCTAGCCCAGCCGGTTGAGTCTAGAACGCAAGTCACAGCCTCTGAGTTATGAATCATTATATTTCAGACATACTCTGTCAGTCAGCTACAACGTAGGACCAGGCACATATGTGCATCGGTCCAGGTTGCCACACCTCATTAGCACAGCAAGATGAACAGCGGATTCATAGAAGTGGTTAGGTCAAAGGTTGAAATAAGGATATAGTATAGGAAGAAAGAATTAGTTCCTAGACAGAAAGAATGAAGTGATTTTAATCTCTTAGTTTAAGGGAAGACAGGGAGTGTATGCACCGACGCCATTGTGATCGATTCTGAGCCATGTCACCAAGAGTCTCCAACCATTGGTTACGAAAGTCACGCGGACCCCAACCAAGTAGTCTGCATCTACCAACATGGCTCAGACTAGAAGTTAGTGACTTCAGGCACTGATGCCACGTTTTGGTTTGGCCGCCCCTAACTTTCTTCCAACCATCCCCTACCCCGGTTAGCATTGCACGTCGTGGTAATCGGTGTTCAGGCATACGTAATACGTGGCCCAACCATCTCAGTCGATGAAGATTCATAACCTCATCAACTGATTTACCATCATTCCCTAATACCCTGCGTCTAACCTCACTATTACTTACCCGGTGATCCCAGCAGATGCCAGCAATATTTCTAAGGCATCTGTGGTCAAATGCTAGTAGCTTACGGGTGTCTTCTACTCTTAAGGGCCATGTTTCGCTGCCGTAAAGTAAGACAGAACGGACTGCCGACCGTTGTTGCTACCTTGACGTGGTGGTCGGGCTTGCCTATCGTGATGAAGCAACCGAGCTATACTGGCTGGAACAACCGTTCCTCAAGGTCCTACCATGTCAGACAGGTCGGTTGAAGAGCGGTAAGACTAAAAGCAACAAACCCAAGGTCCGAAGGCGAAGTCGTACTGCTGACTGTACAGAGGTGTGACAGCAGTAAGGTGTTTCCTTCAGACAACCAGCATGACAGCGATGCTGCCTTCCCACAAGGAGGGGTGGGGTTAGAAAAGGTCGACCCTAAAAATGCACACCTCGCCTTATCCCACGGATATCCGTCTCCGGCGGTAAGGTCACAACAAGTACGGAGCTAACACAAAAATTACCCATAACAAGGTCGTGTGTGACCGACCTCAAGCAGTTGTCCCTTGGGCACTGCGGTCACGCTCTCAGGTCTGGTTAAGATATGAGATGACACTTTGTCATTATAAAACGAGAATATAATGATTTTTAAAAATTAGTATTTTCCAGCATATTCAGGGAAAAAAAACTTGTCACTGAACCAAAGATATACTAGTAAGAATCAAAGATTCAATACACAATGAAGAACAACAGAATTGTGTCTATGAAATCAAATGTAGTGACTGTAATGCAACGTATGTAGGTGAAACATCAAGACAACTGAATGTGAGGGTGAAGGAACACAAACGAATCGGTCATACAATTGATTCAATGACACAAGAATCCTTCAAAAAGTTTAATTCTTACAATTTATAAATAGAGTATGTCTGAAATATAATGATTCATAACTCAGAGGCTGTGACTTGCGTTCTAGACTCAACCGGCTGGGCTAGACAGGGAAGCGGGACCAATAAGGGCACTATGTCGTTCACTACGTGTTTTCCGTGTCACTGAATTGATCGATAAAGCGCTGCGCATCTAGCCTGCAGTCCACTCGTTACAACAATAGGTGAGATGGAATACAACTAGCTGTCCCATGGCAACTAATAATTAATAAGTAAACCTGAACTCCTTATTCCATTTTATCTGTATCGCATTAACTAATTAACAGATATTACATTCAACGGTTCAAATCAGTTATCTTATCTGAATATGTTAAACAATTAACTGAAACATTAAAAATAACATAAGCTTTCAATTACAAATACATTCTTTCTCTTTGAATTCATTCCTTTATCTTGTTTATTTATCTTCATTTAATGCATACTGTAACATTTTTGATTCATATGTATGATACGTTTTCTTAATATTCACCGACCGAAGACAATATATGGTGAATGAAATTTCATCTCACTTACGTATACACACAATCTGTTATGTTAACATTTTTCGTTTCACACCACATAACTCTTACACACTAATGTGAATATCTACTTTAAATATTGTTAACGTTGATTAGATGATTTATTCAGTATACAGTAAACTGGAGAACCTTGTACCTATTCATATTCGATAATTTTGATGTTTGATTATATTTCCTTAGAAAAGCTTAGACCAGATTGCCAGGTGAGACGTTGGATTTACTTCAAATTCTTTCGCTGAGACTTTAAAAATACATTCTTCCTCTTTATGTAATATTGCTTAATCTCACAGTTCAAGGAAGAACAAATAGTGTATGCACCTACGCCATTGTGATCGATTCTAAGCCATGTCATCCATAATCTCCAACCATTAGATGCGATAGTCGCGCAGAAACCAAACACGTAGTCTGTATCTACCAACATGGCTCAGTCTTGAACTTGGTGACGTTATGGGCTGATACCACGTTTTAGTTCGGTCGACCCTAATATTTTTCCATCTATCTCCAACATTGGTCAGCGTTGCACATCGTGGTAAACAGTGTTCAGGCATACATAATACGTGACGTAACCATCACAGCCGACTTAAAACCTCATCAACTGATTTACCATAATTCCATAATAACCTGCGTCTAACCTCACTATTACTTAACCGGTGATTCCAGTAGATGCGAGCAATATTTCTAAGACATCTGTGATCAAATACTAGGAATTTACGAGTACCGTCTACTCTTAATGGCCACGTTTCACAGACAAAAAGTAGAACAGAACGAACTACTGCTCAGTATACTCGTCCCTTAATTGGTAGACGGATATCTCGACTTCGCCATAGGTGACGTAATTTGGCAAAAGCCAAAAGAGGATTTTAGATCCGTGCAGAGATTTTGTCAGACACCGACCCATTAGGGTTGATCAGATTTCCAAGATAAGTGAGGTTGTCAATGCGTTCGACTACTTCACTCCCTATCCTTAGTTCAGGTGTTGACACAGGCTAGTCGTAAAGCAACACCTTGCGTTTAGAGGGTGAGACACGCATCCCAAACATTCTGGTATTGTTGCTCAGTGCTATCAAGAGGCTGCATTTTATCAGCGTCTTTAAAACTATTCGAATTGCTATCAAAAAAGCAAAAGACAATTAACAATCCGAAACCAAACGTTGAAAGAGTGAGCAAATATATGTACCCTAACCCTAGTCAATTGTAGTGTGGAAACCTACATTACGAGCTTGAAGGCACAAATGACTAAACTAACTACAAATTATTTATAATGAACAACAAAAGCAAGAGACAAAGATATCTTTGTATCTTTGGCATCAGGTGCTTAATAATAAGGATAGAGATGACAGGTTAGGACATGTGTTACGTATGCCCAACAACTGCCTACCTCGAGGGGCGATGTTGTACAGTGCAGGGGTAGGCTGGAAGACAGCTAGTGGCCCCCAAACAAAAACACGGCATCAGTCCACGAAGTCACTGGTATTTGGACTTGGGCATGTTAACAAGTGTAGACTACGTGGCTGGGGTCCGCGTGATTATTGTAACAATGGTTAGGGACGACATGGCTCAAAATCGTTCCCAGTGGTCCAGGTGGATTTGTTCTTTGTTTTTTCCCCAAATTATGAGATTCTAAATTCCTCATAATTTTCTGTTTTCATTTCACTGATTTATATTTTCTTTTCGAATAATATTTCAGATGCCTAATCTTTTTTGTTACGACTGGTACTGTTACTACCTCTACTATCCTGAAATTCAGTCTGAAAGCTTCATCTCTCCGTGCTGAGGTATGGAAACTTGAACCGACGTATATACGTACAGGTTCTACGTTGTAACTGACTGACTGACATATGATTCCAACGCGTACTATAGATAACGAACTCACAGAAGAAACCCACTGGAAACAATTATTGAGAACAAAAATTCCTTATGCCAATGCAACTAGTCAGTCATAATATACTGCAAAATGGGAATGAGGATAGCTAGTTATAATTAGAAATCACTTATAATCAAACAGTAATTACTTACGAATATCCTGTTTTTACAGACCATATACTGTAGTCGCAAATCAAGACAGAAACGACTGCTATGCAGTATACCCGTGCTTTGCTGTTCAGAGGATGTATTTAGGCATCGACTGATTACAGAGGTCATTTTTCTAGACACTAGAACAAATGAACTAGTTGGTTATCACAAGGGGTTTCATTCTTTACTCACAAACTCAGACGACTAGTGACCGAGATAATATTGGATCCAGTTTCTGGCTATTTTACTTAACCTAACTTTAATTTGGGTTAGGATTCTTGAAAACGAATGGCGTAAATCCATCAGGTCGAAGTGCTCTAGCTCGCTTCAAACTGGCTTTGTTCTTTTCTAATTCACTAAGAGTCAGGAAACTCATGTTAACCTTAGGTTTTTAGAGAAAAGTGGGTAATTAGAGGGTAGATGAAGACCATGTGGATAAATCCTTGAAATTAGGTCACCGCTTAAACCGTCTGGTTTCATCTTTTTAAGAGATAGTCACACTAACAGTTAACAGTAATGTATGCTTCCCAGTGAAATCTGAACACTAACCTGGTGTTACGTATCACGGTTGTCTTATATTTATTTTGCTCCAAAAACCTATCACTATAACTATGTATATGTTTTATCAAACTTTTATCGCTCCTCAGTGCGTTTGGAGCCCGAAGTATGTCTCTGACTACCTATCAATTCAGAGAATGTCAATAAACTCCGCTACCCTTTTCTTGACGTTTCAGTTGAAGTTGTTAACATGCATCACTGCTGTTTCCATAGATACTGTGACATGTTACATTCGAGTTAATCATAACGTCTCGAATGTATGGAAGAAGTTACCAAATGAAAGCATCTAAAATTTCGAAGAGAATCACAACGAAGACTGTTTCTTGGTTTTTTTAAGGCTGTCTTAAATAGCGTTTGGGAATGCAAAACTCCGACTCGAACTATGAAATTAGTCATTTCGCACAATCCTAAATACTTTCCAGATAAACATGTTACTGAGGTGAGATCTAAATTGATTATCAAACGCTGATAGGACAGAATTATATTACATACTAACTAGAGTTGGGAAATCTTATGTACGAAATACATCCACCATGTCCTGAATTAAAAACGTAAATTACAGTTTTATGTGAAGTTATACTCTTGATGACGTCCCGTTGAAATCATAGGCTAGAATACAATCGTGACCTGGTGTTCGCCGAATTTAAGTTCGTCTCAGCTGATGTCATTGACAAAAACATAAAAACACAAACCACAAAAAAACTAGGCAAATTACCAACTACTAACGCGGCAGTGAGTATCAACCACAAATTTTACTTATAATCACCTTTGTCTCTACATTATGACCAATTGTAAAGAAGGTCAACTGATTAAGACCTAAGAAATTAACCAATGAGAGTGAAGCTTAAACTAAGCTAGTAATAAGGTCGAATTTAATGCTCTCCCCCTATCTTGGATCTTGCTCTCAGGTTATTGGCTAAAATTCACCAGTACACAACATAACAAATTTTCTAACTTGTTTCTAAAACGCTCTGGTCTTGGCTACGCATGAGTCATACTACTGCTTTTTGTGTACCTTGATGATCCCATTAATGTCGATTTCAATTTTGTCTGTGTAGTGTGCTGTATTGGTTGCATTCTGTTTGAGCAGGTTTGGTGACATTGTCATACCTAAAAGAAGTGGATTAACTTCAAGAAATAACAATTATTTTGGTAGAACAACATGAATTCACCCATTTCGTGGATTTATATCCGCTGTAAAAGATGTACACCTGTTTCGTTTTAGTCACTGATACTGTAGTTTTAAGTTGTAGGCAGCTGAAGAGAATCCACGAAATGAATGAATTCATTTGAATTTCCCCAAGGCTTGCCTTTATTTCCTCTTTTTTGTTTGTTTGGGATATTATTCTGCCGTGTTACTTCTTTTTTATTCAAGTAAAGAATGGATTAAATTGCAAATAATTTCGATTCCGCATTACCGCATGTATGTGATGCTTCTAAAATTACAGTTTTTCTATGCACTCATTAGTTAACCTGTTCCAACAGAAGACTGCCACATGGTAGTAGAACGACTAGGTCTTCAGTGTTGAGTCTTGTCAGTGAGGAATTATAGATAACAGGACTTATTGTTTGAGATATTCGCTCTCGTAATTATCCAACTGTTAACTAAATCTTCAGAATAGCAAACACAGGAAAGACAGTCCGTTTTCAGACAGTTCAGATATTCGTCCTGCAACACAATTTGAAGCATAGCGATCCTCACAACTACAAACTGTAGTCATATGTCGTAACCTGGTGTCTGTAGTTGATTTCGTTGACTAGAAGTTTTTTTCATAAGACTTGATGGAACATGAAATAAGTTAAGGAATAATGTCCACTTACTAATACCGAATAAAGCCTTGTTATACACCAATATACACATTGTAAACATAACTATGATTTTAAAAATACTTCAATTGGAATTCTGTTGAGCAGAATTGTCAACTATTTTACTCCATTTCTTACTGATGTATCGAGACTGGATAGTGGCTGCTAAGTTGTCTAAAAAGAAATCACTTCAGGACTAATCATGGGTTTTGGTTATGAAGTTCATATGACTTACCGTAATACGATTAATTCCATGTTTAGAAAACAAACAAAATCATTGTCTTACTATCTCATAGATTCATTAAAACTAGAAACTACCTTATGTATACTAAGCATTTTTCTTGGCAATCTACAAAGACTTATATTTCTTACAAAGCTTTCACGTTTACTCAGATACATGTGAACTTTCATTTATTCTACAGTTTCTTTGTGTTGATAAAAATTTCTAGAAAGATGAATTCAACTATTAAAATTGCTACAATCCCCATTCTGATAGACTACACAAATCAAAGAAAAGAACACTGTTATCATACATTGTTGATGATTGCCATTTGTGTTCTGAATATCCTAACTGTTATATAGCTGACCGTGGGGTTGGTCGGCATAGTCTAGGATAAATAAGACCCAATAGAAATGTAATATGATAACAAAAAAGTGCTTCATTGCAGTATCGTTCATTTTAATGCAGACATGAAGTATGTATTTCAACCACTTTTATGTATTACTAAATCAACACCATATAATTGTATAATTTCAAAGCAATTAAGTTTGATTTCTAACTTTTAAGTTATTAAAATAAATTTCTATCTCAAATCGATATTAATCATGAAACCATTGAGAATAAAGGATAATTGAACAGCTATTCTATTTTACTTTGGGACTTTTCATTAGACCGCTGAGCTGGCATCCAACAGTGTTAATGTCCTGGGTTCGAATCTGGCGCGGGGCGGGATCGTGGACGCGCGCTGCTGAGGAGTCCCATATTGGGACGAAACGGCTGTCCAGTACTTCCAGGTTTTCCATGGTGGTCTAGCTTTAACTGACTCATTATTTCAACTATTGAAATTACTAACATCTTCACAAAACACCTGATAATTCTCACAATATTAGCTAATTAAAGTTGTCTTTCTTTACAAATTGTTCACATTAATTATTATTTACCAACGTCCCGCTGTTTACGCTCTTCAAGGGTGATCGCATTTTGTAAACCAATATGCTTGGTATTAAACTATCTAAGGGATTTAGCATTACTAAGTATTTTTTGAAGTTGGTTCACTGAAGGCAACTCCGCCTGTAGCCTTCCTGGGGATACTGCCGGTCCAAAGCCTGGATGAAAGAGGACATGGGGTTGGCAACCCCATCCCGTAGAAAACTAACTCGCTAAAATACTCTAAACAGAAAAAATAATTCAAACCATTTAAACTCTACCCTGGGAGTTAGTTCTTCATTTAGGGAGTTATGACGTCTCATAATGAAAGCCGAGTTCCTTCGGAATTCACGAGGATTGTGCCCCTTCTGAAAACCAGAGCAACCGTTAATTCAGGTACATGGAATTTTCGCACGCAAGTAAGTAAGATTGAAGGTAGTCTACAGGAATACGTGTACTTAGGTTTTGTACTGGTTGGCAGTTATCAGTATGATGTATCTGAAATATTGAATAAACTGATACTCCTTGTAGAATTACAAATCATTTTACCAATTGTCTTAGTAAGTAATGTTAAAAGTGATCATTTCTCATCCGCGATATTAAGACAGTTACACCACTTGAAAGCTTAGTAGTAACCAACGTTCCGGTGTCTAGTGATTAACACTGATCAGATTCTATTGAGAAACAATTGATGATTCTTCTCTTCTCCCATTTGTAATGATAAATATATGTTTAGTTGACGAATTGTTAATTTGAGTAATAACTAGGTTTTATGTACTGTAGGATATTTAAATTTCTTTTTTCAATCTATGAAAGCAGGATATGTGTGATAGTTACTTATACGAGTGTGAGCTATCACAAATGTATTAAACAAATAATATCAACCTAGAATATATAGAATACATTACTTATAAACGAAATAGTGCTAGTGATTATAATTCAAATGCCATGACCTATTAATGAAAGAAAAATATTTCGTTTGTCAACTATGATTTCGTTATATAAGAGAATACTGTAGAAGATTGTATTAAATGTTTCTTTTTATCTTTGGTTTCGATGATAATTATTTACTATGAAAATCAGAATTTTAACCAGCCTCTAAACATTAACTCAAGTTCCTAAGTTCTGAATATATTGATAAGTGGTAAAATAACTTGACTGTCATCGGTTGATGAGAGTTTACCATCCAATTAGCATCTAATTAATTTTGGATAAACTATATGGTGTATAGACTAATTTATGAAGTCGATGAAAAATGACTAATCTAGTGTTCTGATAAACCTATAACAATTAGCTATTGTCTATATGGTTGAAGTTAACGTGATTTGGTCGATATGGCTCGGTCAACGAAACGAAAGTTGTAGTCACATGATCAAATCAAGCCACAACATGTCAATTTCACAGGGCATTTTTAAAATAAGTATATATATATTTAGGAATATAACAACACAGCAATGAAACGAACGTCTCAAACAAAGGTAATATAAATTTCCTATTAGCCAAACACAATTCGCATCTGCAAAAGTGAGTAGGCGATCTAATCAAGAAGTGATAGGCTAATTTGACTAGTCAAATGTGCGTAGAACTAAATTACAATTGGTTAATAATGTCCTCTAAATACTTATATTAACAGAATATATGTTAGTGTGAATCATTATTTTCCCAAAACAGAGTGTGTCGGTTAGGAATGCAATATCATGAGTTGGAAGCTGGATAAATGACTATCAGCTTTTATGAAAATATTGCAGTACATCTGTCATATGTGTAGCTGGTTTAGATGAATTGGCTCCAGAGGTCTTTCAGTATGGTGGACCAGTTTCAACGATTAGATTGACTAGTATTTTAGCTAAAACTTGGAACTGGATGAAATCCCATCTGACTAGTAGCAATCACTGATCGTTCCAATATATAAGAGAGGACCAAAATCATCCTCTGATAACCATAGAGGGATTACTTTGACGAATATAGCATCCAAAATACTATCCTCAATAGCTATCAGGCGCCTAAGACCCGTGAACGGCAAACACGAGAAAATCAGGCCGGTTTCAGACCTGGTCATCGCTGCATCGACCACAAACCAGTCGATGAGGTTGTAAAACTTCATCGACTGAGATGATTGAGCCACGTGTTATGTATGCCTGAACACTGTTTACCACGTTGCGCAATGCTGATCAATGTTGGAGACGGATGGAAGAAAGTTAGAGACGGCCAAACCAAAACTTGGCATTAGTCCATAAAGTCACTAACTTCTAGTCTAAGCCATGTTGGTTTATACAAACTACTTGATTGGGGTCCATGTGACTATCGTATCCAATGGTTGGAGACTAGGTGACATGGCTTAGAATCGATCACAATGGCGTAGGTGCATACACTCTCTATCTTCCCTTAAACTGTGAGACTAAACTTACTTTATACCATTCTTTCTACGAACCAATTCTTTCTTCTTGTACTACGTCCTTATACACAATCTTTCTTTTATACATTACTACAACTGAAGTTACCTCTTCTGTGAATTTGGTGTTTATCTTGTTGTGCTAATGAGGTGTGGCAACTTGGACTGATGCATATATGTGCCTGGTCCAACGTTGTAGCTGACTGATGTGTGCCAACATTTCTTTTCAGCTTTTTGGGAATGTGTTTCAACTTGAGCTTACATATAAGCAAAATAACTTGACGCTCTTGAAACTATCCTTATCTTAATTCACTTGTTATTGTTTTACTTAAATCATCCCAGTGATGTTTTGGACTGCAATTGATCAGTCTCTTATTAGTATATGTGCATGCTGCCT